TTGTTTTTGTCACTACTTGATGAATAAAATTTAGGTAAAACCCATCTAAATGTCTTGTTCATTAAACACTAAACTGCCTTCCCTTTCTTTTTGATTGCATTTAACAGCCTTTCACGCCTTCTCTAATACTCTAGCACTGATCACCTTTGATCCCCACAAGTGCTGTTAGAGTACCATGGAGAAAAACAGAGGCGAGCTGGTTAAGATCAGGCCTGGTGATGGATGGGGGATGAGGTCAATCCTGAGGGGGGATCCAGACTCTGGAAAAGACCTGTTGTTCTCTCTTAGCGCCTCTCTCTCCCTGAGAGTTTCTCCCTGCTGCGCTGCAGTCCTCTGATGATCTCATCTGCTCACGCACCGAGCTTTAGAAACCCATACACACACACACACACACACCACATCCTGAGGAAAACACTGCTGGTGATTCCCTCTTAAAGGAGCTTCATAATGTTTAGATGTTAATCACTGGAATGAGGATGGCTGCGAAAAAAGAAATCACTCCTCAAGATGAGGGTCAACTGCTATTGTTTTTTGCTTAATAAACCCTCGGCTTGGTTCATTTCTGCTATTGTATCTTAATGTTGTCGGAATGCGTGTTTTGCTCTACGGTATTTATTTTTGGTCTATATTAGAAGTAAATTGTGCTCCAGGGACTTTCTGTTCTTTTCATATTGTGCAATGTGGCATTCGTTTAAGCTTTAATTTGCCATTAACAAAAGTGAGAAAATAAACATATTTTTCTTGTTCAGGGGCTGTCGCTCCATCCGTATTTTAATCATACCCAACTGATCTGAATTTAATCATGAATGGAATGTGAGATTTTATGATTCATAAATGATTTTCTGTTGGAATTAAAATGCAATTCAATCACGGTTGGATCACACTGAACAAATTTGCTGCTGAAATAAGTTTGTTCCTGCAGTGGGCCCAGGCTGTTACCGCTTATGAAAACGTGACTGCCGTTTCCACTTTCATTCTGAGGCTCGAACGAAAGCCAGAAAGGGAGATTGCTTAGTAGTCCGACCAAAATGGATGTCACACTGTTGTGCCTCACTTATACCGTGTGAAATTTGGTTGAGTTGGAGATTGATGTTTTTGGAAGAATTCGGTAACATCACTGCCATTAACTTATTGCTGTAGTGTTTTTTTTTTCCCTCTGGTTTTTAGATTTTTTTTTCCAACACCTCTCCTTTTGAGTCATAGGTATACCAAAATTGATGAAATATTGATGTTTTTTTTCTTAGAATTTGAAATATTTATCACACATTATTACTTTTTTTTTTTACTTTCTAGGCTCAGTTAAATTAAGTTAATTTGTATAGTTCTATTTCTGAGCAAAAGCTTTCCATTCATATCTAAATATATAGAATTCAGCTTGTTCAAAATTTTATTCTATATACTTAAAATTAATCCAGTCCAATTGTCCATTTATATATAGACCAGTTCAGTCCAAATTCTGTTGATCAGAATTGGCATCAGGTTATCCACAATATCTAACAAGACAATTTTTATTGAGTCAATAACTATACAGCAAAACCTGGAGAATACTTCATATAGAAATGTTTTAAAAAAGACACAACTAAACACCAACGTAATGGACCATGAGTTCTTGACAAGTGAATGGCAGCAATACCTCCATTAATTGTTCGGTTCAATAAAGAAGCCACAGCAAAACATAGAAATAATAAGGTAGATTTAAAAGAAAGAGACAGAAAAGACAAACAAATATAAGTATTAGGCAGCAGTATTTCCATCAGTGGCTCCATCCAGGAAAGAGGGACAACTAAACAGGCACTACACCAGCTGTATTTTCTATGGGCAAGAAATGCAAAGAGCAAACGGCAGTTGGTTTTATCCAAGAAACGGATACAACTGAACACAGAAATTCAGAAAACATAATGAGCAATACTTCAATTCCTTAAAAGTATCATAAACAATACATTTAAAATATAGGACTTTAGCCAATGGTTCCAGGAAGAAAACTTGGACACTTTAAAGATGCATGACAATGTATGCAGATGACTGAACGGTGTGTTAGCTTTCGTTTTTTTCCCCTACAAAAAAAGATATAGAAATCAGCTTTAATCATCTCAAAACTATGAAAGCAAAAGCTTTCAATTTTACTGTTCTCAATTTTTACCTGTTGTCTCACTTAGATGAGCAAAAATCAAGTCTTGACTAGTTGGTCTTAAATAACAATTAGGTTTGATGAGAGACCCACAAATCACCCTTTGGACAAGCTCACAGCAGTTTGAATAACCTCATTGAAATCCTAATTTTCTTGCTTTTGTCGTTTGTTCATTCCCCTGCTGTCTTTCAATCTCTCCTGTTGTTGACCGTCCATCTCTCTCCCTCCCTTTTGCACCACTTTTAACATACATGTGGATTTGAAAGTGATTGACCATTAATGGCAACGGGAAAAAAAAAAGTGGTTCGGTTCCTGCTGCTGCAGAATAGCTTCTTGAAAGCAAGGAATCCAGCAATCGCACACAAGCTGACAGGGCTGATTGGCGCCGCGGCTGTGAATACGCGCTCGAGCAGGACCCGTTCCTGCCACGGTTTGTGTTATATTAGGGTTAAGAGGAACCATTGGTGGCCAATCTGTGTGCCTCTGTGGAAATTTTGCATAAAGTTAAAACTTTTTGAAGTCGCACAGGTGGATGTCTTATTACTTCGCACTCTAACACATTGCTCCACAAATAAAAAAACATTTGGAGCAAGTTTGACTTCAGTGTGTACTCATGGTGCGTTAGTTTAGTGGTCGCTTAAAATAAACCAAATGCAGGTCTGTGTTTTTTTTTTTTTTGGTTAGATTTTGAAGAACTACTGTCTGTACCTTTATTTTTTTTTAGATTCTTTCGTAAGATTAAGAAGAAGCAGGTTCTTGTGGCAAAACCTTTATCAGTTGTCTTTTCAGGGTCCGTACACAGTATTGTAAAGCATAGAATACAATTTAAATATTTTCCACGTCTGGACAAGCATGCAAAAAGAAAATTAACAAGTCTTTTTTTTTTTTTTTCTCATTATCACTGGATTGTCTAAAAGTTGTCTGTATGTCCATCAATGTTTATATTTATACCTAAAGATAAACATGAAGGTCAGAACAGAAAGCTGTAAAAAAAGTGTAATTTTAATGTGGAAAATGTGCGGGAATCTGGTATTTACATGTGGACTGAGGAACCTTAGATTTGTGAATTATTTACTGCCAAATAAAAATGGAAAGTTAGTTTTGCTATTGTACACAATTTTTGCACTGCTGCACTGCTTTCATCACAAAAAGCATGGTATAAACTCAAAAACAGCTTTTTCATCAAATATTATATGACCCAACAAGTAGCATCCTTTTGGTTCCTAGACCAATCAAAATGCTGGAAATGTTATATCAGCCAGCCAAGCAGAGACAATCCCTTATGTATCAATTGAAAAAAGAGGCCATGCAGTTTGTCAACAATGCACATTTGTGTTTTAAGGCATTTTTTTTTATATTTGCGAGGTTTGAGAAGAAGCAGGTCTGTGAAAATATTCTTGCGATGGACAATGAAATAGATGTGCTACAGTTATTTAAACAAAATCTTGAATTTTGAATAAACCGAACAGGGAAGTTGCCAACAGGCTTTTTGTTGGCTATAATTCCTCTTGTCTCTGATTGTTCTAGAATTGTGCTGATTGTGATGGAGTAGCTGTGTTACGTTACTTCTGATTTGTTCTTTTTGTAGACTTTTGTTTAATTGTTTCGGCTGAGGCATTGTTTGTTTGGACAGTTATTTTGTTAGATGCTGTGCAGCTTGAAGGATTCGTGCTTTACTTTTTTACTTCGGACAGTTGTTATTATGTGCATCCATGGCAACAAGCTGTGGATGTTGCCATTGGGAGCAATTGATTAGCATTTCAAAAGCACAAATGATGGGCTATAAAAAGGAGAGAGAGAAGGAGGAGGTTCAAATGACCTCTGCAACTGATAAAGGGCAAGGATCATATCTCCAAATCCATTGGCTCTCAGCCCGGCTTTCTAACAATATGGCCAAACAGAAATGTAAAGGAGTGGCAAAAGCAAATGAGGTGGATCAGCAGTTCTTGCTGGTAATGGTGTCATCCAGGTTTTGCCATTGTGGAATATCATAAACATTAAGCTGTTACATGTCATGAAATCATGAGACTGTCATTCAGCAGCAGTCTTCAGTCAGAGGTGTCATCAGATTGCTTGGAAGACTGAATGCTACAAGAGATCCATCCTGCCCACAACATCACCATCTCCAACAACTCTTTAAAGATATCACTTACGACATTTAATTTTCTTTGGCATTAATTCATTATTTTTCAATTTGAATTGAATGAGTACAAGTATCAGTTAATTTTCAGGTACAAAACACCAAGTTTGAGAAAAAACAACCTATTAAATTAGATGGTAAACAATTGTAAAAGTTGAATTGGCTCAGCTATTATTAATACCTTGCAACAGATTTTTCTGAACACACTCAAGTTTCATGCAAACCTTGTAGCTGAGACAGAATACCAACATGATGAACCACAGAGAGATGGAATTGGAAAGAAAAGCAACCTTCAGAACACCAATAAATAAGATCAGACGAGAGAACTGAACTCGTGCAGTCCTAAGGTTTTGACTTCTGTCTCACTGACTTCTAAATTTTCGTTTTCTCCCTTGTCTTCTTCACCTGTTCTCCTTTTCTTTCTCTATTGCTTCTCTGTTTTGGCTCATGCTGCTATGGCAACCGCTGCTTTCTTTTTGTCATCCAAGTTGTAGGGCAGTTTTTAAGGTCCACCCCGAGATGAAACCACTCGTTTCATTCACACGTACTATCACAGGATTACAAACACCCACCATCACCTGCACTTCACCGTGTTCTCTCTGCATCGCTATTCTGACACACACTTCAGGTTTACTGATGGTTTGATTTGTTGCTCACCATTCTTTGATTGATTTTTTTTTTTTTTTCCACAGCGTTTACGTTTGTTTTTTTGTTTTGTTTTTTTACTTGCAGACACCAGAGAAGAATACCCCAAGTGCTGCTGGTTTAACTGACATTTAGAAAGAAGAGGACCGACGAAAAGAGAGGAAGAGAAGGACGGACCGTGTTTGGAGGAGGAGGTGGAAGATAAAATTGGAGACCCGCCCACTCTGGTGAAGCCCCTCCCCTTAGAGGAAGTGCAGTGAGTACCAACATTTTGTTTCTTTTCAAATGGCCCACTCGCTTACTTGTTAACCAATCTATTGATAGTGTTTGTTATTGAAGCTAAGATTTCATGATTACCAATCTACAGATGTGCGCATGTATTATGTGACATCATTAGGAAAGCAGCAGCAATCAAATGTAAATTCAGATGTTGGATGAAGTCTACATGCAACCCTTTTAAAAACTTGTATTCGTACAATTTATCCCAACTTAATCACATGGATAATTCCAGAAGAAAAAACTTAATGAATGTACATGTATATACAACGTTGTATCCGCATTACTTGGCTTTGCCACAGGGCTTTTTTGTTTTTGTTTTTTCTTATTAAAGCTGAGTTATTTCTTGATTACTTAAACTGAAAATGTATTTCTCATTCTTTCAGTATTATAAGTCTTCTTATCCTTGTGTGGTTATAAAGGCCACACTCTATGAGGCTGATTATTTTTCTAATTTTCAAAATGCTCATTAACAACTGACATTCACATCTGTTGCACTGTAGATACTTGAGTTGTTCTTGGAGACTGACTAATAGTTATAACTCAACACCTACATTGAAAGTAAATATACATACAAATCTATTTTAAAGTTATTTTCATTCAGTTGCAAGTTGTCATTTTCAGTCTTCATCTCAGTAACGAATCTCATTGCATCACATTGTGTGGTATTCAGATGAATACCACACAATGTGATATTCATAGACCAATACCTATTGAATTAAGATTTGCAGCTCACATGTCTTTATTTTATTTTATTGTTGGCAGTGTATCGAGATACACATAGTATTTGCACAGAGCAAGGATACCCAAGTCTACCGTTCAATTTTCAAAAAGTGAGGTCAGTGGGTTGTTACTTTAAATAGTGACGGTCATGTTTGCAAGTCTCAACATGGCCACATCTGGGATCATGGATGCCACAAACTGACACATCTCGACTCAACAACAACAAACAGGTGGTATGAAACCACTGGACCATTCTGAAGAGAAACAGTTCTTGTTTTTGTAAAGCCAGTTCAACTATAACTCTGTTTTAAAAAACAGACCAAATCATACTGGTTGGGTGACTTTACTGTTTAACATGTTGCAGAGTACAGCAGGTGAATGATGTTGGCTAACAGAATGAGGTGGGATGTTTAACTGACTGAAAGGAGTGGCAGTTTTTGACATGGATGATGTGGCTCCCCACCCAGGGCATCCTGGATGGGGTGGCAACGACACACCTAAAAACAACAACAGCAAAAGGCCATTTGAGGTTTATGATGCATTTGTTCTGTTTGTGCCAACACAGAAAATGCATTTTTGATTTTATATTGGGACAAGTGTGACTTGAAGGGGAAGGATGTATGCCTTCATGCAAAGTCCTGTAATTTTACAGTAATTTTTTTTTTCCTGGATTCAAAAATGTTGCTTGTAACAAATAGTTGCTTGTTGTTATCTTGTTTTCTTTTTTTATCATTGATATATTTAGTTGTTTAATTAGAATACAAGTAACACAAATGGGTGTGCATGTGTTATATTCTTTAGGATGAAAACAGACCTCAAAGAAAAAATAATCCTTGTTGGTTGATAACAGCCTGATCAGTGTAATTTTATAAAAAGTTAGAAATTTGACTTAAGCATATAATAATAAGAATAAAAAAAGCTTTATGAAAATGTTATTTATTGCTAGTTATTTTTAATAACTGATCTACTGAAATTAAATTTTTATTTTTTGCCATGTCCTCTAAATCTCCCGAACTTAAAGTAACCTTCTTCCAACCGGACGGAGGAAAGGGTGTAAAGGTTGTTATTTTCAAAGGTGACATTTCCGTACAGGTTGCTGAACTTTGGTAGAGAAGTGAATAAATGACATTTCGTCGGTCACCATTTGCCAGCAGGACTGGATTAGTTTAATGGGGACCTCACTGGAGGTAGAAACGAGGACATGTAACTGTTGTCTCTCAAAGAGATTGTTGGGTTGTTGCTGTTGCTGTAACCACTTAGTGGAAATTTTGCCATCTGAGCATATTGCTTGTTGCAACACTGGGAACTCTTTGCATTTATTATTCTGTTGAAAACCTACTATTTTATCTGTGTGAACAACTCAAGATTAATTCTTATGTGGAGCATAATGACAGTGTTAAAACATACAGCTGCCTTTGATAGAAGTCTCCGGGGAGATGATTGCATCGCTGTAGTGTAAGAGTGCGTTCTCCAATTGATGAATGTGTTGTGCTTGTGACTCAGAAGAGGCTTTCAGTTCCTCAAAAGCACTAGTAAACAGATACACAGTGAGGAAAAATGACAGACTTGACTTTGGGCTATGCACCTGCACCGTTTTAGGCTTCATTTATTATCCCAGCACTTATGTGAAGCACTGAGGAGCATTCTTGCTTTTTCTTAAAAATGCAAAGAATACGTCTCATCAGGCTGAACATTAATTTATTTAAAGTGAGAATTATTCTTCAAAATAGTATTTATCTTGTATTAAAAGCGAAAGATATTCAGTTTAGTTTTAATTTAGTCCCATTTTAAATAATTTTTTGCATTTCTGATAAGAAGTGTTATGTGTGAAGAATTATTCACGTTTGTTCCAAAATTTTATTTTTAAATGCTCCCCAAAATGCTTTGTGTGTTTGAATAGGATTTTTATCTACTGTCTAGTGTTAATTATCAGCTTTAAAATAATTAAACAACTAGACTTATTTTGGAGCATATTTAATGGTGAAATAGTTTTTCTGACTTCGGAGCAAAGTCAACTAGCACTTGTATATGTTGAAGATTTTTACTTTATACTTGATAAGAAAATGGTTAGAGCCACATTAACAGAGTCAAGGCCTCAGAGTGTGTTTTAATAATTCCTTTACAATTCTAAAATCGCTGCAGGAATTTAAATATTAAGAATACTTGACACTATGTGCCACTGATACTGCATAGCCATTTCTTGGAAGAAATTGGCTCTTTCTAGTTAAGCAAATAATCAGATTTATATTGTCATTTTGAATTGTTACAATATGACAATAGTTTAATTTGATAAATTATTCAAAACCAATCAGCAGGGTTAAGCACACCCTCGTTATAGAAAAAAAAATAATAATTTTAACTGTTTTCTGGCTGTAGTTGGCATGGTAGCAGAATTTAAACATCACTCAGTTACTGCAGCACATCTGCCAGAAAAAGCCAACAATCTGAGGCAATGTGAATGAGTCAGTTTGTATTGAATTTTGAGTATCTCTGAATAATTAATTACTCACTTTTATTGCAATATTGATACTTTTGACAACCCTAATCGGGATAAAACTCACCACCTGTGTACAGTAAGGTTACTGTCCTCCACGTCTTGCATTGACTGATTTGTTTAACCACTTTTGGAGATTTTAGAATCTCCTCAATGTCACATCAAACCTGAGTGAACAGGATAAACAAAGTAGATGGGATTATTGAGTTTTTTTTATAGCATAGTAAACAAAAAGCGTGTGATCACAAGTCCTTTATTCTTGTTGACGTTGGGGTGCAGTACTTCAACAATGGCCAGTTTAAATGAAGGCTACATTAGACACTTTTACAGCTTGCTTTTCATCTTTCTTTGAAGGTAGGAGTAAAAGCAGATCAGTTCATAAACTATCAATCCCAAACTCGGCCGTTTTTGCATAGATGTTGGCTTTGAATGGCAGACATTCAAACACCATCCAAGTACAAGACAAAAACCTCTTTTGTAAAACAAAAACAAAACAGCAGGTCTGGACTCTAACAGGAGGATGAAAAGCAACAGTGGCCACATTTTAAATGAAAGCGTGATGACTGTTAAAGCGAGTTGGAGTCAATCCCAGTGATGTGTTCAGAGTCCCGATCTGCAGCAATACGAATGAGTCAGTCAGGGGAGATTCTGATGAGACGAGATGAGCTCCAGATCCTCAGCAATGTCAAGGTAGAGAAAAAAGGCGGAGGAAGTATTCAAATTTACTGTTTAAATATATATTTTCATACGTAGTCACTTCATAATATTTCAATCTGTAGGAACAGGGAGTCGTTTTGCTTGAAAGAACCCATTTTGAGAGGTTTTTGACCTGCTTTTACAGAATCATCAGAGTAACACAGCAGTATCACATTTCTGGGTTCGCTTTGTCCCTTTGGTGTCCTTTAGTGATTTGAAAAGTAGCACCTGAAGACTTAAAGAGTAGATTCTGGCACAATTTAAAGCTTTAACCTTAAGAGGTATTTATTTGTTTGGAGTCTATTCCTCCCTCTGGATCATTTTAGTGTTTAATTTGCCTCCCCCCTTGCTACTCAGCTTTAATTTGTTGAATATACGAAACCTTAAAAAAATAAAATAAAAAAAAAAGACGTGGAAATCTTGCCTTTTAAAGGCAGTGGAAAAGAAGAAAAATAAAAGCAAATAGAGGGTGAGTTCTGATGAGGGGTGAGGAATAATACCTGGATGGCTGAAGGCTTTTTCGGATGAGTACCTTTTCCCACTAAGAGTGGCTCAGAGGAAAAAGTCAGAGGGTCACTTTGAAAGACATGACATTTAATTTCCAAAATTCAAAACTCTTCCCCTCTTTTCTGCAGAGTGGCCTTCTGGTGTTAAAATGTGAGAAAGAGTTGGTTTTTAGAAGAGGAGGAAGAGGGAAGGACACATTAAAGTGCAAAGTGTCGAATGATCTGGCAGCAGAGAGCACAAATGAGTAGAATGAAAGAAGAGGAGAGATGTGATCCTTGAGGAAAATAAAAGAGCAAAAGAGAAGTGACACGTACTTCAAACTGGAAGTGAAGTCAGACTCAGGATGGCTTTAGGAAAGAGGAGAATCTGAGATGGATTTTCAGTCAGAAGTATATGAGCGGTTTCTCCCTTCTGCAGGAACAGCACGTTCTGTTCAGCAGGTTTAAACATGGCAGCGTCCGCAGCCTGTAGTGCCCCCGCGGCACTCAACTTAACTTTGTTGTCCGTGCTTCTAGACAGGCTGGCTGCTGCACAACATGGTTGTGTAATTTGGGACGGTACACATTTTGGGAGACTTTTCAACAAACCTTGTTGAGGCTCTATTGCTTGAGATAAAAGTTCAGTCGCCACATCTGGAGCCGGCATGGAGGTCCTTGTGGGTCTTAGATTTGTGCAGTGTGTCATACTCATGAAATGATCAGTTTTACACAGTAAAAACTTCAGGATGATGATTATAGTGAAGAAAACATTCTAAATTCAGACTGTCAAAGTGAATATTTTCCTTTCCATGTTCATAATTTAAATTGTTTATCCATCGAGACAGGTTTGCATCTGAATATATGACAGACTTTTTCTTTTAAATGTAAATTTCTCAAAGTTGTTTAGACATGCAGTGTTTTTCACAAAGGTTTACAGCATATTATTGGCATAACCGGTAAAGATGTGTAATAAACCTTGGAGCTGGAGTACGACAATTGCTCATGCTAGTACATTTCAGTAAGGCAAAGACCGCACAATAAGAATTGAATTATCTTTAATAAATTACAAGTTCTGCATGTATTGGCACCCTAAGAATTTCTTTTTTTCAATTTATTCTATAAGATACTACTTTAAGGTGATCAGAATGTCTAAAAGTGATCCTCGACTTTCTTAGCCACTCTATAAAACAGGTAAAAGAAGAGAACATACCAGCTGCATAACATAAGAACATTTTTTTGCCAACTTCACTTGCGAAAGTCTTCTGAATTTGCATCCCAGACTCATTTCTGTGTTACACCCTCAACATGACGATACAACAAAGCTACAGACCCCCGAATCTTACAGATCTCCTCTAAGAAGAAGGGAGATTTATTTGCTGCATAGTATTAGGGTAAAAAGTGCTTCCTCAATTGAAAAGGGTTAGAGTTACAAGGCTTGTCTGAGTAGTAACAGTATGGTTTTTGATACAGAACAAATGTGAATACATCGAGAGGGCAGAAAATAAGTCTCTGTGATTCTGAGATGTTTATAACATTATTTTCTGATCACTATTTGGAACTAGTACCGGTAATTGTTTCCTAATAGATATTGATTAGATTAGCCACAAAACCAGATCTAAAAATCTAAGTGCTTAAACTACTATGATGATTACCGTCTAATTTTTGCATTTGTAAACTAGCGCCACCACAAAGTACAGCTGGGACCGATGGGAATATTTTGCTTGCATTCGGTCTTTGGTGTTCCAACTGAAAGAGCAAGATTGCCATCCCCACAGGCGTGCTGCTAACATGACTGAAAACCCCAAGATGGTGAAACGAAGGGGCAGCCCATCAATTAACTTGTCAGATTCAAAGCCACTAAAGTCACTTGTTTTCAACACGCAGTGAAACACCAAGGGTTGGCGGAAGTGGATCCAGACCAAACACCAAAACACATGACATGTTGTAACTGCAGAGCCACTAAAAATATCAGTGAGCACTGAAAGGTCTTCTGAGATTAAACATAAGTTCCTGAGCCCCTAATCAACAATTTCTGCATCCGAATGTTCCAGCTGACCAGCAGAATGAATCATAATCAGTAGTCTTTGGGTTTATCCGTCCAGAAAACCGAGCCAACTGAAGCCAACATTTACCATTGCTTGGCTGCCATCCAGTTCTTTCTTTTTGAGCTCCCTCCTAAGCTGCAGCCAGCACGAAGACCATTGCCAGCCCTGCTGGGCGCTCAGAAAGGTTTGTTTGCTTAGCTGAATAGGCTCTCTGAAGCTCAAGCGATGGAGCTCTGTGCTAATACTGCAAGGGTGATGGATGGAGTTTGCACTCAGGTCATCTGGGCAAAGAATATTTGCATCAAAGGTGTTATGAAGCACCTCTCCTGAAAAAATCCACCAAATGGCACAATGTTTGGGCTGCAGAAACAGCTCTGCACCTGATACTTTGTGATTTTTTTTATTCAGAGTTTGACTTTGTTGCTTTATGCTAAGTTACATTTCCCAAGTGTCATTAATAAGTATCAGAATTGTCAACATTATTTACAGTTAATACCTGACTGGAAATCACACTTTTTTTCATTATTCGATTGGTCTCACAAGTTATAGTCAGTTGTGACTTCTATGTATTTTTTTTTTTTTTGCTCTATGTGACGCATTGTTTTCACTGACACGTTAAATATTTATTCAAACTGGTGGATATGAACCAAGAATTAAACATTACCATTTGCAGCCATGAAGAAAGCTAAAATCACAGGCTAGACGGTCAGAACTGAAGGAACAAATCCACAGACGATCTGTGATCTGTGCTACCTCGTAAGATTTTCTTACCATACCGCATCTAGATAACGATACCTATCTGTCGGTGCCACCTTCTGAAACTGCTGGAACAGTCACATCTCCATGCTCTAGAAGTGACTAAGGAGATGACTATAAATGACTTTAGAGGGAGACCTCTTGGTGTTACCGCCTCTCTATCATCCTTTATTTACACTGCATGCGTCTCCGCTCCACTGCGCTCTTTGCTGATGGAGCACAGACATTCCAGACCACCCTGATTTAGAGTGCAGATCAGCCTCCAGCAGACTTCCAAGCCAAAGTCAAGAGTTTTCGTGAGTTTGCTGAAAAGCAATTAAATAATATATCATTTGACAGTTTCTAAATACTTACTGTCTGAAAAAATATGGTACTGTGCTGGAGTCAAATTTAACCAGTCACACTCACATATGTACACTTGTGATTATGTTTGTTCACATGAATTTATACTCACATGTCTCATGTGGATCTATTGGTGTCTTTAATAAAGATGATCCGCTGGTAACTTGCAGTTAAGTGCCTTGCCCAGGTGCCCATCAATGTATGACAGAGAAGGAAGCAAGAATGAAACCTGCAGCTTTCCAATTCCAGGGCTTCTCTTTTTATTACACATTCGCATTGTGATTGATGATCACTTTAATTATGCCTTGGATCAAAGCTGTACATCACATTTTTTTTTATTTCGCTAACAGGAGATCTAAATGTATGAAAACACTGAAAACACTGCTGCATTTTTGGTATTAAGTGTAGAAAACAAAGGCTGCACAATTAACGCTGTGCCCTAATGCTGTGTCACTGTCTGATCATGATGTTGTTCGTCGAACCGCCATCTGTTGCCTTCAGATGTTGCGCTCTCGTTTGAAAATCTGAGCGCTAGGCCCCGCTTCGGGGAGCGATCGAGAATCCCAGTCGATTTTTGGGACTGGGAGGAGCGGTGCGGCGCTGGTGGGATCTCCGCAACCACTGCTGGAGGTATGTGCTACGTGGGAGAGAATGACTCACCCCTAAAAATCCACACACACCTGTGGAGGAGGTGTGTGTGGGCAGGCAATGTGGCCAGGCAGATTGTTGCTCGCCTTCTTCTCTGAGTTGGTGTGTGAAACGTTGACCTTGCTGCCGCTGCTGAACTGGGCCATCGAAACTCCGTTCTTTAAATCTTCTCTCTTTATTTTTTTTGTGTGTGTATCTGTGGGTTTTCCTAAATAACACCTGTACAGAAGACTTTCCGTATTCTGGCTGCAGCAGGAGAATTTTTTTTCTTTTTGACATTTTACTTATTGATGTGATGATTTTGAGAGATTTCAGCTCCTCCGCTATGGGTGCTGCACGTTCTGTCTTTAATTTTAACACTGTATGTTTTTTTTTCTTTTGTTTTTTCTTTTTTTTCTTTTTCTTATCTCCTTGTTAGAAAAGACTTGTGTGTTCACTTGAGAACAATTCTCAGTTCAGATTTTTTTTATTTTTTCTTGGATCAGTTTTAAGTTCATTTCAACTCAGGAAATTATGTAAAAATAAGCATTAAAAAAAATGTAGAAACTTATTGACTTTAATCAGAAAATTATAACACATGAAGATCGTTTGATCTAAAACATCCCACAGTAGTTCAGGTCATTGTCCAACCAAATTTGGACCTCTGTCTGAGGCTCAGGTCTTTTTCAGCTTCTAACGGGTTTTCTTTCAGGATCTATATTTAGATTCATAGTTTTAAAGCAATAGTTAATCAGCTTTCGTAATTAATGGGGATGTAAAGTGGTCATGAAGATATTGGGATACTAAATTAAGATATGACCATATTTTATTTTAAAAAATCAACTCTAAATACAAAGTCAGTTTTATTGATCTTGTAAAAACTAAAAGACAAATGCTTTTAGCTACACTTTTTATGTGAATTATTAAGGTAATTAAATACAAAGTGTGACAATATATAGTCACACAATACACAAAAAGAAATCAGTATGCGACCCATTTTGTATAAAAAATAAAAGACCTTCTATTTTATCTCTGCTTGCATCTTCAGATTTGATGGAAAGTCGAGCGCCATTCCAGTTTCTTGACTTTTGAGCACAGGTTTCCTTCCTGGATCACCCTGAATTTTACTCAATTAATCACTCCTTCTACTATGGCCATCCTGTCATAACCTGCTGCAAGTAAAATGTCCCCACAGCATAATGCTGCCACCACCATGTTTCAAGCCATGTTTTTTTCAGACTGATGTGTAACAAAATTCTGACCCCATCTGAGCAGAACCCCTTCTTCTAACTGTTTCTGCCTGGCTTAAACAGTTTGCCTCTAATACAGGAAGAAAAGCTTCACTGCAGAACAAGGGAGAATAAAATTACATAGTTTTTTTAAATGTAACGAAGTAAGAAAATCCAGTAGTTTTCTAATTTTTCTGCATGGTCTACTTTCTCCTACACGCTTTTGATTTAAGTTGGTCATTTAGCACCTCGGAGAACTTGCCATCTGTGTATTTAGGTTGCGTTGGTGTCCTGAGCTTCTTCCTGTGATCATAGATCACGATCATGATGTTAAGATCAGGCCTCTGTGGGGGTCAGACCATCTGTTGCTAAACTCTTTGTAGTAGTTGAAGATGTAGCTCTTTGATTCTTCAGGGCGTCATCTTCCTGCCCTAGAATAAATCTGAAAGCAGACCGATCTTTTTGAGAACGACCGCATAGCGCAAGATACAGTATAAACAGAAGCTTAATTTAAGTTTCTTTTTTTATGTATTTATTCTTTTTTTTTAGCTCTCGGGATGTTTTAAGTAATAAAATATAAGGAGGTCAGGATTTAAACTGCATGAAGATGTTCTTTCCATTCAGACTCCCCACTCCTACGTCCAGCTGCAGCAGCGGCGGCTCAGTAACTCTGGAGTTCATTCAGCACCATATAATTGAGGCCATGATGAAGTCAAGTGTTTTTTAGAGTAATGAGCGCAGTCTGGAAAGGTAGAGCTGCCTCACAGCTTCTCTCAAATCATCCATCCATGCACACACCCATCCATCCGCAACACATTTGTTCAATTTAGTTAAGTGCCACTCAAGACATATTCCTTAAAAACAAAGATAAAAACTAATCTCCAAGTAGTTTTTTTCTTGCTTTTTTTTAAGGGCTGGATGTGTCAGTAACGTACAAATTTACAACACTTTTAAAGACACAAGAAATAAGAGATTTTTTTTCAAAATAGTAACTAATCCAATTATAGCCAGAGGAAATGTGTTTGGGGTGTTAAGAATGAAGAAGAGAAATGGGAGAAGAAAGCACTAAAACGAGCAGAATTTACTAATATTCAGCAAAGCACTCCATTATGGGATGAGCTGTTTTTGAGTGAAACTTTAGCAACAATTCGAAATAATGTTCAATTATTTCCTGAGTGAGCAGACGTTGGAACGAAGAGAAATTCTCAAGGACCCGGGTTTGGTTGGAGAAATTAGAAAATCCAGTGAAGCGATAAATAATTTTATGTTGCGGATGGTTTTGAAAAAGTCTCCAAAAACATTTTCAAGGCCATCAGGATTTTGCTCTCCAATACATTTTTCCCCAACAAAAATACTTTTTTCCCCTCCTGGAGTTTGAGAGATATTCAAAAAGCCTGAAGAGCCGGGTGAAAAGATGCGATGAGAATCAAGGATGCTTCGTTGTGAAGTCTTACTCACACTGGAATTTGATATTCAGAATAACTTATTTTTTATTCTCCTTGACATTGACCAGTTCAATTTTAAAACCACTTTTCTAAAGGTGCAGTAATAATTCACTTGAGTGCTGATTCATCTAATGAAGTATCTGGTTTTTCTTAATCGAAAAAAAAAGACTTTTAAAGGTGGATTTTTTTTTCTTCTTCTTTTATTTGTACTTTAGGGACATTTAATGCTGTTCATGTCATTCAACAGACCACGGCTGAATGACTGTTATTCCAAAATACCTTAGATTTAGTGGTTTAGCTGTTTAAATGTATAAATACAAATTCAGTTCTTATGCTAAGAGCTGTCTCGAGACAGTAGAACATTACCTCGATTGTGAAAGACTTGTAATTGATGCTGGTCACTTGTAATGTTGCAGCAGTTTCACAACCAGTTCAGAGGAACTCTCTAAGTCTGTTTATCCAAAACGGTTTAAGCTCCATTAAATGACAGCCACCCTGAATGAAAAAGGCACGCTTTGTGTAGCCTATGAGGCAAACCCTGGGGCAAGGAAAAACATTCAAAGGACCTGCTGGAGTTTGTAGAGGTTAACTCAGAAAGCTCTAGGCTGTTTTGTTTTTGTATTTACTCTTAAAACAACAACCAGAGATTTGCTGAATGCCATCTGTAAAACTATGAGACCAAAATGATTAACCTTGGGACTGCTAGGTGGGTTCTTCAGTATCCCGGAGACTTTCCCTTTGGATATAGATCTTACTTAGATCTGAAAAATTTAACTGCTGTTGTTAATTCTGCTCTATACAGTCCCTCCAGGATTTCACTATTGTTTTTACTGTTTGTTTACAAAATTGCTTTTTTTTTTTTGGTGCTGCTTAAGAAATCTTTGCCAGAAATTTTGCAATATTTTTTTTTATCTCCATTGAACTTCTTCCAAAATCTACATGATGAGACAAAAAACAGATGGCTTTGACAAAAATATATTTATTCTTTAAATAACTTAAATAGTTCAATTATTGTTACTTGCCACATTGATAATGTATTATAACTTGATATAAAGTAAGGCTGAGGCAGCAGTGAAGTAGAAGCATGAGCCACTGCCTCTTTCAGGTGGGAGTTTGCAGTTGCTTGTGCCCAATATGTTTGACCATTTTTGTGGAAAATTAGCAGTAAACTCACAATCATGCATTAGTGCGAAAAAAAAAGGTCTGGTGATTTTGTGTGAATTTTCACAATTGCAGAATCACAGAAAACTGAAGCAATTTGAGTTGGTTTATCATATAAAAGCCCAACAAAACATGGAAGCTGATGGTTTTAACATGGCAAATTGTGCCAAATATAGATGGGTAGGAATCATTTTTACAAGGAAAGCACTGCAATCGTATTTGCTGCAGTTGTGGTAAAACAGACAATCATTTTCTCCAGCCTCCAAAAGAAAGAAAAAAAGCTGTAAGTGCTTCATTTTTATCACCTT